TGGGTCCATTGTGCTCATTGTCCTAGGGTGTCACTACCATTCATAAAAGATTGATTGTGCATAGTCAGACAATGCTACTGCATTGAAAGACAATGACAGACTTGGCTAGTTGTGATGACTAAGCCTCATCCCATGGTCTTAAGCACTTGTTCTAGCACTCTGACTAAGCATAAATAGGGGTTAGAGTAAGGAAAGAAATGAAAAATCATAACAGTACTATTATCTCATGAATACTAAGTATGATTTTGAAATCTGGATGAACCATCAAAATCTCCAGTATTTCAAAAAACCACAGAAGCTAAACCATAGACAAGTGCACTGGATGACAGAACTAGCTGAATATCATTTCACACTCTATCACAAACCTGGTATTGCTAATAAGAAGGCTGATCTATTCAGTTAACAAGCCAACTATGATCAGAAAGAAAATGACAATGAAGAAATTGTCATCCTCAAGCCAGAGCTATTCTATATAAATGCAATAATTTTCTCTACAGTCCCAGAAATCCTGAAGAAGGTTTGCTGAGAGAAGAAGTTGGTGGAGAAGGTGGTACAGCTAGCACTTGACAAGAAGAAGGATGGATGGACTCTTGAAGAGTAGATATGCTATTTTCATGACTAACTATACATTCCTGCCAACAAAAAGCTTCATGGGAAAATCATCATGACATGCTATGGTCATGCAACTGTTAAGCCCAAGTGACATATCACTGAAACACATGATAAATAGACACTGTATCATATTCATACAGTCATGCCTAAGTTCACTATATGTGTTTATGTGGCATTGTATTTCAAGACTGTTACAAGAGGCTTGAGGTAGAATGGTGAAGATATAAACTTTAGCTTGAAGCTGAGTATCTACAGCAAGAGCTATGCTACTTATATACTGTTTGTCTGTTGTGATAAATATACTATTACTAATTGTATCTGTTCCAATCATTGTGCTCTTTGTCCTTAGGTGTCATTACTTCCTACAAAAGAGTGTTGTCCATTGTTGAGAAGCATCATTGCATCAGAAGACAATGATGGACTTGGCCTTATTGTTATGACTAAGCCTGTCTCACAGTCTCAAGCACTAGTCTAAGCACCCTGATTAAGCATAAATAGAGGTTGATTAAGAGAGAAAAAGGGAGAAAATCATAACAGCAACAGTAGATCATCCAGGAATCACCAAGAAACAAGAATTGGTCACACACAATTATTGATGGCCTAGTCTCAAACAGTCAGTGGAAGCATACATCAGGAGATGCAAGATGTGTCAGAGGGTGAAATGAAGCACTCAGTAGCAAGCAGCAACACTATACATCAATAAAGTCTCTTCTGACAAGTGGAAGATAATCTCAGTTGACATGATAGGGCCTCTTTCTGAGTCCAAGGGGTGTGATGCTGTCTTAGTGGTGGTAGACCAATTTTCCAAAGAACTAATCCCAATTGTGACAAACATGAATTTGAATACTGAGAGCTGAGCACATTTGTTCTGAGATCATGTATATGCACATTATAGGCTCTCTGACAAGATAATCTTGGATTATAGCCTACAGTTCATATCACAGTTTATTAAAGAACTTTACAAGTTGCTCAGAATCATTGGGAATCTCTCTATGGCATATCACTCTCAGCCTGATGAATAAACTAAGCAGGTCAATCAAAAAATTGAAAAGTACCTCAGGATTTTCATAAACCACTGGCAAGATGACTGGATAGAGTGTCTTCCAATGGCAGGATTTGCCTACAATAACCATGAAAATTCATCAATAGGCTACAATATATTCTATGTAAACACTGGAAGCCATCTGAATACTGAGATGAACCTCTCACAAAGAAAAAGCCAAGTACCCCAGGCAAAAGACTTTGCAGCAGAGATGAAGAAAATTTATAATGAGACTGAACATTGACATGCCCTCTGCATGTTTAGATCTGTGATTTTGCAAATTATGATAATACAATGACTGTATCACAGTCTACTATATATGCAATAAAGAACATAGCTACAGCACAGTGAAATGAGACTTATATGACAACTGGCTTGAGGCCTAGTGGTAGTATGATACTAGGAGAGGTCATACTGTGCATGAGGTCTCACCACTTGACACTAAATATGCTAACACAAGTACAGAAAGTCTCACCAAAAATAAAGAACATATGATCAAAATATGATCAGGGCTTTGCATGCAACTTTATATCACATTGATCAATGACACATAGATATTGACAGGCTGCAGGATATGTTCTAGAGTAGAGAGTTGGTGCACAGTGAGATAAACTCAAATAGCAGAATCATTGGCTGAAAATGAGAAGATTTGATGAAAGTAATGACCAAAAATAATCCTGAGAGTCTAGAATGACTCCTGTGCATGGGTTAATTGCCTTATGGAGATAAAAAAGCAAAGAGACCAGTGGCTAGGCCACTAACAGAGCTAACTGGTGTCAGATTGCATAGAAACAGAAGGCAGTCCCAACTCAGAGTAGAATATGCATATCAGACTGCAACATTCATGCAAATGATGTGCAAGAGACTCCAGAACAGAGTTCCATGCATTGAACTACTATATTAGGTCTCTTAGTAAGTACAGCAGTAGCCTATTTAAACACTGCATTGTAAAAAGTAGTAAATAAATTTCTGATGCTCCACAGTTGCAGTGTATTGGGCATGAAGGCCTTGCACTCCAGCTCTGAGTTTGTGTTGTAACTTTGGGTGAGAGAATAAACCCACTGTTGACATCATTAAGAGAGATTTGAAAACTGTGTGAGCCATCAAAGCTTGTGCAGGACTCTAATTCAATTTAATAAGAGGTTTTGAATTGTGCTCTAGCCTGAGAATAAGAGAGCAGTGTCTGAAGGGCACTATCTTGAGTTTTTAAGGTATTTGTGACATGAGGCACTACAGGTGGCAGAGATTCAAACCCTTTGGATCTGTCAGACAGGATTTTTCTGGTTATTTCTGTAGATTGGCAAAGATTCAAACCCTTTGGTCTATGGACAGTGTTATTTGTGTTATTTCTGCAGATCAGCAGAGGTTCAAACCCTTTCAGTCTATCAGATGGAGTTTTATCATTTTTTGTACATCTGTGTCACAAAGATTTCAATTCTTTGAGTCTATGATCAGTTAGGAAACTTGTGCACAGAGGTTTAAATCCTTTGGTGCTTGTGTTTGTGAAGTTGTGAAGTGTTTCTGCTTAGAGCATGAAGGTTTAAGTCCTGTATTGTGTGTGTGTGTTACAATCTTTGAGTTTGGTCTGAGCAGTGCTTAGGATTTTTTGAGGGTTTTGTGAGAGTGTTTTGAAGTATTGGGTTATGATAAAGTACTCTTGCCTTGAGTCCCAGCAAAATTTGTCACTCCTCTTGTTTCAACAAAAGCTTTGAGACTTAGAGAGATCTCAGATATATATATGTGCACTATTGCTATTTGTGTGCAGTAGATTATTGAAGATACAGTTGTTCTGCTATTACTACTCTTATCACATTACAATCCCCCAACAAACTAAGAGTGTTATGTATATGTGTGAATGTGGGTGTGATCAGCAGATAGTTCTCTGCTGTATCAGTTTCTAGCTTGCACATATGATCATCTCTTCAATGGATGAGCATACTCAACTGATCTCTCTATCTCACCTCTATTATCCTCATCAACTTGCTTTATCATCAGCTAGTGTCAGACCCTGGCAGTTGCAGTACTTAAGTATTTGTGATTGTTTAGTTGTCACTTGACACAGTTGGCCTGTCTATTGTCATGCTATTGCATAGTCATACTGTGTCAGCATGCCAATACCAGCTGTGTTTCATGAGACAATGAGTAAGGCACAGCATTGTGACATCATGCCTGTATCATATGTGGTTCCATGGGGCTTTAGTGAGGTTTTTCCATAGCTAAGACCAAGTTTGTTGGAGGTTTATCAGGATTTCAATGAATGTGGTGGATATGATAAAGAAAATTTTTGACTTAAGAGATTGAGTTCAAATATACTGTTAGGAACATGCTAATAGATGGGCTTGAATTGCACATGCAGAGACCAGCAGAGTGTGTGGGCTTGGCAAAGCTATTAGCAATGTCACCCTTGAGCCAAAGTCTAAAGGATTTGAATATAAAGCAGAATATGTGGAGAGAGTAGTGGTATAGGATTAAAATATTCAAAACAAAGCATAATCTATTGGACTTAAGATGATGAGAGTAGGGATGAAGTATTGGGCTGAACCAAGTTGATATTCAAACTGAGTATCTATTATAATTGTACAGAGCTGATATACTACAGGTAGCTAATTCTGAGTTGGAGTCTGATAAACTCCAGCACTGTCTATTCACTGCTAAAATCAGATTCTAGAATTAGTATATAAAATTGAGATATAAAATAATAAATGAAATACAAATAAAGTGGGCATATAGTGAGCAGCTGAATCCCAATGGTTAGCTTGTTAGATTGGGAACTTGGAAGCAGGAGTCAGTGTGAAGCAGAGGCTGTTGGCATGCATGTAACAGTCATTGTGAATAGCAATTTTTATTTCATCCAGAGTGAGAGTTTATGAAGGTCTGAAACAGGGAATACATAGTTATATTTAGATGCTTGTCTGTCTGCAAATTAAGTAGGCTCCATTTTGCACATTGTTAATTCATTGATAACAAATTATGATTTCTTCCAGGTAGTCCCCTTTGATATTCAATGTAAAGAGGAGACCAAGGATCTAAATTTTTCCAAATCTGTTTTGGAGTCCTGTCCACCTTATTGCATAATTTGATCTCCCTTCCAAACCTCAACATTATGCAGTGTTTGGATATGCCATTTTAGAATGGCAGAACATATGATAGATGGTAGGTCTGTATAACTAGCTACTTGGAATTTTGCTATAATGAGTCTGAGGATCTATGACATTGCAGGAAACATACATTAGCCAATTGCAGTGATATATCTTTATTCTCTCATCTAGTTGGCATCATGAAATGTATCTCAATTCAAGTAAGAAAAAAAGAGGAAGAAGTCATTGGTCATGGTACAGTCTGCCATCTATGGTTTCACCCACTGATGCACAAGAGAAGCTGGCTCATTCTTGTTTGCTGCTGGAGCAAACTCAACTGCATATGTAATTATTCTGCAGATTTTTAATGGCTCAAAGTTGAAGTTCTCAGACATATATAATTGATAGGAGTACAATATACTTAGTAATGTTCATTGTATATCATGGGAACCATTAAGGATTCACTACAGCATATGCTGCACTCCACTTTTCACCTGAAGGATCCACCAAGTAGAGGGCAACCAATCTCATGTACATCTCACTCAAGCACTGTGGCTGATTTTCCTTGTCCCTCTGTCATATCAGTTATCCAGATAGCAGTATACAGAAAGTGATGAGGTGCTCATACCTGGCAGATCAATTGTCGAAAGACATATGCAACACTTTTGGCTAATCCCAGATGACTGAGGATACCATGACTACATTCCACCGGAATAACTGCTAGTGCCAATTTATGGTACCCTATGATCTAAATGCAACGTTGACCTTATTGTTGTGAATCAAAGTCATAATTCTGACCTTAATTTCGACCTTGATAGTAGATGTTGTATTGACAGACTGAGGATACGGAATAACGCTTCTTAAACTGTTGGCATTGACCAAGATGTCAGGTTCTTTGGCAAGTATGCGAGCGATGCTAACACCCGGTAGACCAAGGGCTATGTCAGTCAGATCTGCTGAGATGAACGGAACAGTCGACAGAACAGGGATACGAGAATGGTTATCTCCCTCAGGACGATGCAGATAAACACGGAAGAAATTCCCTTGCGCTTTGGGTGCATCCGTGCTGGGACTGAAATGAATCCTCCTTACATTCCAGACGAAACAAGACTGCCCTGGTTCTGTGGATGTGGATGTGTTTATGCGACAGCGCACGGCATCGTGTTCTGGTGCCCATTCTGTTGGCTGTTTCCCCATCTCGCAGTAATTCCCCGGGCGCTGAGGGCTTTTCGTTAGATGTAGATTGGACGGCAAAGGAACTATGGACTAACGAGATTTTTGAGTACGAATCCAGAGGCTCTGCCCTGCAATAGCCACTGTTGGTCATAGTTCAGGGGACCTTGGATACATTGATATCCATTTGAACCGATGACGAGCTGATCAGATGTCAGAATCTACGTGATGACGATATTCAAAGAAAACGTACAACAGGTGGAGATGTATACAATAGTGCGATTCGGCCCGTGTTAGGCTGAACGAGAGATCCGAGTTCCGATGATGGATGCGGAACGTTCTACAGTTCGTACGTGAGAATACTGAATGGTTGTTTAGCAATCTGAAGCGCATACCAGTGATTGACACAGTGTGGCGAAGGATGGAAGAGTGATGTTCTGTGGAAAGAATGAGATGTGTCATCTTAGTCGGAGAGAGGGAGTCCTTTACCTCTGATGACATTCTTTATCAAGGCTGAGATGTGGGGACGAGTCCACCGTCTAGGAGAGCTTTATATAATCGTGTGTTCATGCCACCGCTAACTCAGGAAAAGTTCAGTAACAATAATAAAATCGATAACTAAGACATAACTATACGGACTATGCGCTTTCTGGTAGTGTCTTTGTGGTACTGGAAAGATAATCCCAAGGTAATTTGCAAATGTCAATGCGGCGTTATCAATAAAATGATCATGCATCAAGAAAAAGACAACTATAAGGGCCCAAAAAAGACTATCAATAATTAACCATGAATATTGCAATGTACCTAATCCACGGCATTGTCCTCGAATTTTACAAGTCAAATGGATGCGCGCGTCGAATTTGAAATACTGGGAGCGCTTTTGTCACCGAAATGCGACCGCCACAGGCTAACTGAAAGAATTTTTTTTTCGTGCGATATAGCAGATTGCCCAGAATCGGTTGGCGGTGGGCAGGTATTGAAGCAAAGTCTTTGAGAAAGATGGCATTGCCATCTGTGTCATGATTGTAAACGAAAATAGACTGGCACCTTTGGCAACGAAGGATCGCTGCCAGTCATGTTAGGTGAGAAGGCATCTGAATTAATAGTGCCGCACCTGTTTCTGGTGTTTCCGAACCATCTTATCTCTAATCAAATTCGGTTCCATGGGCAGAGTGAAAAGATGTCGATCCTGGAACAGCCCTAGTCGCACGCGATGAGTATCGTAAATTGTCCCTCTTGCGATCGTTCTTTCTTTGATATGAGCTTCAGGATGATCTACATACTTTTTCTGTGCAAAGAAGTGGGCAAAATGAGATAGGCAAAGAAGGTACTCGCACCATTCCACGAATGCCCAAATTCTATGGATGATAGCATATAATCCGCCGTAACTTGTTACTGGGCATTACAAGCACAGAATTCGGCCCTTTGAAATGTAAAATCTTGGGTACGAAACGTCGTCATATGGTTCCAGGATCTTCTAAGCAGTTGAAGGTTCTATGGGCGTTTCCGGCAGCTGCACGGTCTCCTCCTCAGTACACTGTACAGCTTATTCAACGGGGAATGTTTGGATACAGAGACGTCATGAAAAACAACATCAAAGGCTGAAAAGAGGGCCGATGACTTGCCTTAAGGCTATAGAATTTTTCAAGGAGAAGAACGACCCAGCTGACCCAGGCAGTGTTATCAAAGCATCACAAATATTCTGGATTAAATGCTGGGCGGTCTTTCCTTTCGCCGTCGCTCTCAAAAATGCGCGGCATACGCCCTTCATCGGACGAAAGAAGATGCACCCCGACACTTTTAAACGTTGCGAAGAATCAGAAATAGACCATGATTGTCCAACGCAATTCCAGACACAATCTCTCACGGTTGAAAAGTAGTCGAAAATAACAAGGCGGAGCAGCCTACAGCCAAGGTCGCCCTTCCATCCGTTGCATACATCAATGAGAGGAGGTTAGAGTCCGATGTGTTTTTTTCCTGTAAGGATATGACCTGTAATAGAGAATGTGATGGAATATTATAAGAGAAACTAAGACATGAAAGAGGAAGCGAATCCGCCAGTACCAAGCTCGAAAGAGCTGATCGCCATAGTCAGCACTCAGTGTTGCAACGCTATACAGGACTCATACCTTGATGGCGGTAGTGCTTGTGGTTCTCATAGTCCCGGTGCGATAGACAGAAAATCAGATCTTGAAGGTTTCGTGGGCATATTCCGTTCTCCTCCTCTCCTCCCCCCTTTATTCAATCTATATTTCACAACTTCTGGTCTGGGCGTCGGACTACTGGTCTTTCAGCCCTTTTGAGTGCCTCCTTCTATCGTCCCTGCTGAAGCTTGAGATCCTCAAAAGTCTAATAAACATTGAAGAAATGCGCTCTTTGTAGGTAGAAGCTTTTGTCTATTGGTCATGCTTTCAGCTGTGCTGTTGTGCTGTCAGATTCATGAACGTAGCTTTTGAACCTTGGAGCGACGACAAGAAGTGGGAGTCTAATAAGAACAACGATGAGCGTGTCTTCTGGATCTCTTCCTGGACATTCTCATTAATTCTACCAGCATCTTTGATTTATTGACGAGACGCTCTGTGATCTTGAAGCTTCGTAAAATCGAAATCGAGCAGATCCATTGCTGTCCGTCTGTATCATATGCCCTTCTTTAAGTTGGCGATAACTTGCTATGGAGCCCTTCAATTATCTCAGGGGTCGCCTCTTCCTTCCTTCGCTTCTGTGATTCTTCACCGTGAACTGCTTCATCCATCCGTTCGGGGAAGGCAGCCATGTTTCAGGGAGCGACATTTAGGCGACGTTATGGAGACCGGGTGCCATAGAAATTGTGAAGTAGATGGAATCAGACGAGTTAGAGAGCACTGGCTGGTTATAGAATCATAGTTAGGAGGACTGATGGTCAGTCACTGCTGGGACCGGTACATTTTCTCGGCAGAAAAATTGGACCCGAAAATGTTGCCACATTTCATTGAATTTTAAAAATAGTAAGAATGAATTCAGTAAAGTGAGTTGATAAATGAGATCATTTCCATATTCTCTTCTGTAAAGGAAAACTGCAGGGAAAATTGAATTGAAACGGCATCCCTCTCTGTGAGAACAAAGGAAACCATTTTTCATTTGCAGAAAAGAGTTTGCTTTTGGCATATAAAAAGTGCCAAAAATAGCAAGTTTTTCATCATGTTTGCCTTATCCCATTTTTGCAGCATATAAAGGTAATTGAAAGTCACAGCATTTTCAGCATGTCTATTTCCATGCCGAAAAGGAACTGGCCCCAGCCGTGAGTGCAGCTTGTTATCAATTATTATTTGTTTTAACAGTTTGTCCCTGCTCCAGGCAAAGGGATAAACCTAGCGTCGACAAAGATGTTCGTCTCCTTAGTTCTGTACCAAATCTTTCCTGACAACTTCTCCCCTTACAGACATGGTAGCGAAGAAGGCGAGCCTGCGGAAACCGCTTGTCGTGTTTCAAAATCTTAGTCGATCGCCTTATATGAAACCTCCAGTCCTCATGGAGTTGAGTTGGAACCCCAAACCGGAAACGCCGCGTACCAATACAGGTTGGAGTTATGTAGGTATACCGGGAACGGCGCCTACTTCGTTGCTGCTGATGCCACTACTTTCCTCCTCTGTGCGATGTCCGTCCTGTGGAAATGATGATTAAATGGCAGTCGGATCATGAATTGAGTGGAGATATGGTTCCGTACTGCGGAAATGTCACCAACAGAGAAACATATGCTATGGTATGTCAGCGTGTACGATTGTGGCAATGTGTTGCTCATTGGTCGGCCTATACCCAGAATAGCTATGAACAATCTAGATTGCCTGCTGTTCTTCGTGGTCGAGCATTACTCACAATTCGGAGGTCAACGCCACGCCGACCTCAATGTCTATTTGCAGAGCTTGACCTTAACACGCTTCTCCCTGCATGTTCATCAAGGTCCATAAATGCGAGCAGGGCGGCAAAGAAAATTTTCACTCAGGGAAGCTTGCGCAACGTTTAGCATGTCCGGACATCTGCATCGGACGAGTGCTAGTTACTTTCCCCTGAGAACGACGAAGAACATCTTCTCGCCCTCTCGACAACCGCAGAGCGCCTTCACATGGAGAATGGAATACTTTCTAATCCTTCCCACGAACAATATTCATCAGTATCAGGTCCTTCTCATGTATATGCCGTCGTCGTCTTTTCGTCTCCTTACCATATTCGATATCTTTGTAAGGCTGTGAACGGCCTTTGGGGTTCCCCTCATGGTTCCTGCATAACAGCTGTGCTCACTTCTGTTCTTTTTTTCAGCCTATCCAGGAACAAGGGCATTATTTCCTTTGATCCGAGGGCAAAGAGCAGTTCCACGGGTCATTCCCAACGAAGCGGGGATGTAGGTGACGCCGTTCTGCATGATTAATGATTCTTCCTCACGATACGGACCGGTTCGCGGCGGTAATTTTTTTGCGCGGGAAAAGTGAAGGCCAGTGATTGGACAGGGTGTTTGTTAATCGGGCTATTGATGGAAAATCTTCGAGCTTGTGAACCTTTTTCGATATCTGTGAACCCATGAGAGCTGGGGCGGATCCGGGACAGATCCGGGACGAAGTCGAGACTCGCCCATGCGGCGGATTGATCGCCGAGGGCCAACGGATGTGATACAATGATTCACTTCTCGGGGACGATTCCAACGGCGAACTCAACGCTTTGAATGGGGGCTCAAGAGGGTAGTCCTCAATCCACTATATATTGAACAAGCGAGTCGACCACAGATGTGGCGCTCAATACAGAAACTATGACGACCAGAAGGGCTTCAATTTCAGGGGATCTACTGAAGCTCCGGCTCTTTCGTCTGACATACTGAAACAGACGTTTTCGCGTGTTCTTGATGTCATTTTACTAAAATGAATGCTCAATATCCCGTTAAACCCCAGCTGGTTAGTAAACTTTACTTCCGACATCAGAAAAACGAATGAATTCACCGTGCGCTTGTATCAATCAGGAAATTGTAACATGTGCAAGGCGCGGCACAGAGTTCAAGGTCGAGTTGTGGCCGGAAAATACCGTCGTGCCCTCCTTAGATTTCAACTTTCACCTAGTAACGTTTATTGCTGTACGGTCCTTTAAAGCTCACCTCGACTCCCAGGATTCGTACACGGGAACGTTCTTTCCTCGTACGCCCAGGTTAACTTCCATTCTCCTGAAAGCGAAGTAGGCTAACACTTTCTCAGGAAATTCATACCAACAGCAAAAACATGGATAGAGTTTCCCCAACTGCGATTACAGCGCTGCCGCCCCGGTTCATCAATGACTTACCCGTGGAATTACTCCACGAAATATTCCTTTGGGCGATTCAGGACGATTCTGCCATTGCTGCGCGCGTCATCCAGTCCCTGTGGACGCTCAGCTATGTTTATCATCAGTGGAGGCACATTGCGACTTCCTTCCCATATCTATGGTCGACTGTACATGTAGGGTCGACGCGACAGTCGCTGCGTCATTCTTTCTCTATCAGTAATATCGAGGGACTCAGCACCGTGCTCCGGTGGTCTGGAACCACAGCCCTAATGCGCAGGGTGGAGTTTACGGATCACGAACTTGCAGGTAGTTATACACACGTACGCGACTTGCTCAAAACTCGAGTGTCGGATCGCGTCGCTGGAAATCCATAAAAATGAAAGCCTCCATTTCTGTACTCCACGAGCTCTTCGAATGCCTCATTCTTGGGGCGCTTCCCCTCCTTCAGTCAATTCATTTCGAAGTGACTTCCGACTCCTGCTGGGGCGTTACTCTCACGATGGCTCGTCTCACTGCGACCCTGGAAACAGCGCCGAACCTTCGTTCAGCGACCCTCCTCCCATTTGTCCCAATCCATTTACCTTCATCGGGGCTAAAAGAACTTACCACGAAAGACCTGACCCAGAATGAATTGTCGTCGATTATCCACGACCTCCCCACCTCGAAATCCGAATTTCATTGGACTGAGAGTCTGACATGCCATAGGATGGGCTCCCCCGCCTCAGGTCCATACTGCCTTGCGCCAAATCGAGATCGAGGGACTACAAGAGCTCTCTCATTTTACCCTACCAGCACTTACACATCTCCGGCTCCTGAAGCCCTTCTGTTCATCCCCGCAAAGTCCAGACTGGAGGATCAGCTTCTCATTTGACGTACTCGAACGATTTCTCCTTCGTTCGGGGTGCTCCATCCGTCATCTCCATTTTTCTATTCACCAAGTAGGATCGGATTGGACCGGTATCCTGTCGCTCCTCGTCGACGCTCCAAAGCAGAGATGCGTTGCTACTTCCCAAACTAAACACTCGAGTTTTTCGGAGTACATAATCGCAGTAGCAGACCGCATTGCCTTCGGTCGAAAGGCGAGAACATAACGGTCCCTTTGCGTCACCAATGACTGCTCTTCATAGACTGTCTTCGGACTGACTAGTTCTAGGACACTTCTTTGTATCACCAATGTATAAGAAGTATTTAGAACTCATGGCGGCGTGCTGTTTGCCATCCGTGATTAGTTCGCATGTGCTGTTTCTTACCCTTTAATGGTTTGCATACCGACGTCGATTCTTTGCCCCTTTCCTGAAGGAGAGGACTGAAACCCACAGTGAGTATTCCGCGCTCTCCCGTCGGATGTGGGCTTAATTTTCTTCCTTTTTAGCACCGAGTCATGATTAGCCGTTACACCACTTGCCTCATCATCTGCCAGCGCGGAAACCGAGTCATACTCTTTAGCAGAACCGTTCGTCTCTGTGTAATTTATCCCTCCGTCCATGGGATAATGGAACGCTGAAGTAGCAACTCACCCATGAGCACACCCACTGGAACATCGGTCCATACCGGCACAATGATAGGAAGCGTCCTAGGAGGGATCACGATCACATCCGCCGTCTTGCTCTTCCTTGTTGTCTTCCGGCGTCCCTACGAAGAGCGTGAAAGGAAGTCACAGATACCAGATCCGGACTGTGAAAGGAAAATCACCTGCACTCTTGACCCAATCCGGTCCCTTGAAATGCCGACAATAGATACATCTCCCTCTCCGTCTGGCACACAACATAGTCATGACGAGGTGGAATCACTCCGTGAAAGAGCGAGACTGAAGCAGCTAGAGTCGATGGTCCTGCTGCTTATGACCGAGCGGCAGCGGAGCTATAGTTCGGAAATACACATGCCTCTGTCTGATTATACCTTATCAAACCTCAGCACCGGTAGAAATTGTCAATGATTACTACGACTTGATTTTGCATAGATTGGTACATTCCTTCTCTGATAATGACAGTGCGACATGATACTAATATTTCAAACTTGGGGCCCTCTCCCGCCCAGTTCAGAGTAAAGAACATCATGATCAGTTCCGGCCTGCTTTCCCCGTCTTTCCTTCTTGAAATGATTTGACAGAAGAAAAGCGACGTCTTACAATGCCATTGAGCATCTAAGCGAATCCCAAAGACTGACAAACTCACCCAGACTCTGCTCAAAATTCAATCGAGGATCGCAGAAAGACTGGAGATAATTATGGTCAGACCGAGCCATTTCGCCGAACAAGAGTCGCAAACCTGGTATCTCAGCCCAAGCTGCTCCTCACTCAGCTCCATACTCCCACCAAGACATTCAGTAACGCTGAACCCCTCATCATTCAGCTCACCAGTGAACTCGAGGCTGATACCACCTAGCCGACTACCGCACGATGTGTGGATCCTCAAGCAGGATGTGATCTCTCCAATGATGGCGCTGAAGTGGCGAGTCTTATAACCTGTCGACGATGTGAGAGTACTATAGTAATCAATGAGCGAATGCTGTCCGGTCATGAGACTGATACGCGTACTTTCCATGCATAGGATCGCATATCCAGATGACAGGATGGCCTGACCGCTTCACGGCCTCTATATGGCCTGGTAGGTGAGCATCGATCTGTAACAGGTAAACAAACTGAACATGTAAAGAATCATATATATCTAACCTTATCTGCGCCATACCGCGAGATCAGGGTTATCCTCCCGAGATCTTTGGATGGATTAACAACTATCGCGCTTTCCATCAGCCAAAGCCAACGTCAGAGTGAAGTCAAGACCCTACCATCTAGCAGTTCCGCCAGCTCATCATCAGCCATCGACGGCCCGACTTTGATCCCAATCGGATTACGAATTCCACGAAAATACTCAACGTGGGCGCCGTCAAGCTGTCTGGTACGATCTCCGATCCAAAGGAAGTGCGCTGAAGTGTTGTAATAACCGGATCCCGATGGGGATGGTCGAGTCAAGGCTTCCTCATAGTCTAGCATCAAACCTTCGTGGCTGAGTTGACCAGTATTAGCGCCGGCTAAGGAATGCATATGGGAAAATTGTTTACCTCGTATAAAAGTCGACCTCGCCGACGGTTCCTCTCCCGCCTCCGTGCTCGAATGGAGCTGATCTCTCTGCTCCGATCGTCCTGCTGAAGTCGAGTGCATCGGAGAGACCATCGACGATGAACTCGAATTCCTTTCTAGTGGACGTTCATAGCGACGTATTATAAGAGTATAGCGAACAGAGTTACCTAAGTGCCAGTGATCTAACGTGATTGAAGGACCAGTCCCTCGGGTGGTGAAGAGAGGCGAATCCGGAGGTTAGTAATCCACGGACATGGTTCAGCGTTGCAGTCGAATGGAAATAAGCGCTGGGATCCACATGAGTGATAGATTGCACGAACGAAAATAGAATGCACCTTAAGAGACGCTGAGGGTCCGGAGTGCGGTCATTTGGATCGAGTCTGCTTAAGGGTAAGATCAAAACCACATCTTTGAGAAGATTACACACCTGTTGATATTATCCCCTCTGAAAAAAAAGATGTAAGAAAAGTGACCCGCCCATTCCATGTGATACTCTTCTTACCTGAAGCTCAGGACCTTTTTCCCATTAATGATCTCAGTCGGACTACTTCTCGGTTTAGCATACTGTCCGGCAATGCGCCCAATTCGTACCTATCCTGAGATAAATCAAAGACAAACAGTCTTGCAAAAGCACACATACGACTGGAAGACGTGCTCCCCAAATGATGATCAAAGAGAACGAAAGAATCAGACCGATCTTGGCGGAGATATTTTGCTTGAACACCGGTGTAAGCGCCATGATCAACAGTGAATCAGCTGTTGAGTACCTGGGTACAGGCGTCAAAACTCTCTGCACAATCGCCAGCGTGCAAGAGGAACGCCTCGTTCCGCTGTACGAGACTTAGCTGGTATCGGAGGCGTTCGACCTGCAGTACATGATACTAGGATCCTGCTAGGAGACGGTAGTACGCACTTCTGCGGGCGTGACCAGCGGAGGCAATTGCTCCAGTTTCGAAAGTACGCTGTTGTAATGCATGAAGACGGAGGTTCGACGCGCGATACAGAGCGCACCTCGATAGTTTATCAGGATCGGGATAGTCGACGTACTGAGAAAGGTAGTCGACAGAAGAACGGAGACCAAAAAAAAAAAAAAAACAAGACGAACCTGGGCAATCGATTTTGATTTCCAAGATGACGGATGCCACTCTGCAGACATTGAAGGAAGAGCCTGAGTACAATCCAGCACAAGGGGACGGAAAGGGAGCAGAATGAATTACGCGCTGGTGGTGGAAGAAGAGAAAGGATGATCGAGTCATATCAGCCACGATTCATACAGTGCCGCGGTATTTGCCGCGCCTGTTCGGCCAGGGTTTGGTGTCGGCTATTTTTCATTGGCCGAACAGGCGCGGCAAATACCGCGGCACTGTATGAATCGTGGCTGATATGACTTAGCGGAGAAAAGATAAGTGCAGGTCACACTCGTGACTGGAGTCACATTTGTGAGGATGACATTGACAATATCCGGACACATCTGATATACGGAAGCTGTGTGAAATCATTAGATCAATTATTCTCAACGAGGCCAAAAGGGTATTTGCTAACACTGAAAAACCCTCGTCTACGTAAATTCCTTTCAAAAAGAGCGAAGGCCGGTCAGTATTCAACCGCGCTGGTCCACACCTGACTTCCAGCATTCGACGATCGGCCCCCGAGGTCCCGTAGTTTACACCAGAATTTGTTTCTTGAAAGAGATGACCATGTACAGACCGATACGACAGTTTTTTTTTTATTTCAAGAAATCAAAACAACACGATGCACCCATATCGTAACTGGGGAAGCTCGGTAGATGAAAAATGGCGACTGCATTTCACTGATTTACCATTATATTACGTCGGTCCACAGCGTTCAATTGAATGTGGTTGAGTGCAGCCGCCCTCGTGTCCAATGCCGTTAAATTTTGCGGTTCTACAAGTGGTGCTAGGACCCTGAAATAAATATAACCGATGTGCGAAGGATCGGCAATGATAGCGAATCGTTCCATTGAAATCGTGTAATTATAAATGATTACCAAGGAGATCACTGTTCCAAAAATTTCGTCGTGGATCTCGCTCAGACATAACGCAGGAGAATGTTGGGTTCATCCATCTCGAAGTTAATGGGAACGATGCGGCAGTGACCGTTTGCCATAAGAATGGAGTGAAAGAAAGGACGGACTTTGAATTCGTGATAGCACGTTGCTTTTGCTTTTCTTTTTCTTTCAAACAAGTTGAAACGACACCCGCACCTTGCGGCTTCGCTGCTCATATGGTCGCTACCGCCACATCCGACAGTCAGGCTATCCGAATATTCAAAAATTGCCTGCCTTACTCCAAAAATCCTGGTCCGCGGCATGTAAATACTAACACCTGTGACCTCCAGCCGGCCAAGTACACTCTTGCCTTGCGGGTTGTTTTTGCCCACGTCGAATCCTACAAGGCCTCGTAGTCGTGGACCATTGATTCTGTCGACTGTGAATATTCTCGTTGCCGCCCAGATCCAGGACTGAGGCATGACGCCGTACCCGTTTCTTCTCATGGTGAAATTATGTCAAGTTTTTGCATTGTCGGACCTCGGCTCGGTTGAAGTTCACCGCTCTACTCTGGAACGATCTAAACATTTTGTTATCTGAAACTGCCTGTTGCCCCTACTTATCAGTTCTTCAAAGTCTGGATTACTTATGCTAGATACGTTCTGTCAGGTGCGACGTAATATATTTCTTTGACTACGAGTACTAACTATGGACACCGCCTCAGGACCCGATATAAGGCAGGAACCTTTCGCCCAACCATTTCTTGTCCTGAATGTATCTAAACTAATACCGTGCTCCCATCCTCAATCCGTCCTCGTCTTTTAAAGTCACCATGTGCACTTCATCGTCATTCCAATCTACGTCTCTCAACCAGGAGTTCCACACATACGAGAGTGAACTGTCCAGCCTATCCTCGAAGTCACCGTCATCAAACACCCCAATGTTCATGCGTGGCAGACCCAACGAGCCTCAATGTTTCCATTGCGGATGGAGAGGCGGCCATGCACCAGGGTGCCCTTTCAAGTAAACGAATATGATTCGAGTACGTATAATTTGTCCTTACCTTTCTTTCTGTCGCTTACCGTCTTTTCGTCATTAGGTCTCATTTCCAATGCCACTCGCTCTCGCCTCATCCATTTTTCAGCTTCAAATTTGTTATCATTGATTTCTACTGATGTTGATACTTTTGTACCCAGTTTCGTCTACTTCTCTACGTCGTAAATTAACTATTATTTTTCTCGCAGATTTTGCTTTCGCTTTTCACCGTACTCAAATACGCATCTTAGCACACTTCTTGAAAATTCTCGGATATTTATTCCCTACACAGGCCGTATTTGAACATTAGTTATATAGCTACCATGCTCGAGATAAGATGGATTTCTGTTCCTCATTTATCATTCGGACGAATTGTGATACTTCATTGTCTATTTCAAGAAGCAAAAAGTCCGCCCTTGAGACTCGGCGGTTACTAATTAGTGCATACAATTATTTAGTGTATTCTCTCGATGAGATATTCGATGTCGGCTTACTAGCACAAACTAGACTACAGCGGTTCTTGAATTTACAGTTCCAGACTCAGTTTATTTTCATAATCTTAGTACTGATTGTTTCCCGGCTTGGATTTAATAATGAATCTATCTAGAAAGACGTCCTCTTTGCCATAGGGTCTACAGATCCGTCCGAGAGAACTTCCAGAAAACCTTTCTTGCTGCATTGGGCGTGACTGGGTAGGAATACCACTCGCTCGCTTTCGGAGCTGAGGTAAAAAGAGATGGTCGAATCCAACGAAACGCCAATATTTCTAGGTGGTATGCTCTGGATTTGATTAAGTGAGCACTAGGAAAACTCACTATGTTCGTTCCTGAAAGGAAAGGACGACAAACGGGAAGGTGTACCTTTGGCGAAAAAGAACAGAACCTTCAGAGGACCAAGGGCAGAGATTATTGATGAAGCAAGAGAGGTATACACACCGCCTGTTACTAAAGAGAAGGGAAGAAGGAAATTGTTCTACAAGAACGATTGCCACGAAGGCCTTAAGTCTTCGGGGCGGAGAGTGTCCAGCATACTGAAGCAAAAAAGGAACATTCATCATCATCTACAAATGAAGCCATGCCGTCGGTGTGAAAGCTGATGATTTGAAGACATCTTGGTGGGAAGGATCGGAGGTCCCGAGACTCCCGACCGTTCTCGAGCTCGTCTGGCTGTCGTCTGGCTGTCTGAGAGTGAGACATCACGTATAAGGGACATGGTGAGTGCCAATTAGCAAAATACGTGGATCTTCCAACTTGCGGTTTTCCCACGTGGGATTAATCGCCGTTGCCTGTGGGAGGTCGAAAATGATTGGTAGTGAGAATGAAAGGCATATGATAAGTGGGGACTCAGGATATGGTGACCATAAGAAAAACTCGAGAATCCAAACTTGATCTGCGGGATTGCTGTCAAGTTCAGAACTTGGATATTATGTCATTCGTATTACTTAGAACTGATTACCACCTGAGCGTTTTCCTCGAATGACAAGACACCTGTCCTCTGTTCAATAAAAACCAAAGGATCCTAAGGAATAGAGCAGAGTATATCTGACTGCTGACAGTATCAATTTTTTCTTTCCCGGGCTCGACGTGTCGCTCAAGTTGGTCTTCATCAACCCCTTACTGGCAGCTTCACCACATCCCGAGATACATGAGCTCAATTTGAAGCCATACGCTTGTTATTTTTGTTTATCAGCGATTTTGTGTAAAAGATCCATAATCAGGGAGTCGAAGCATCAATTCCGACCTCAAATATGTTGACAATGCCACCCTATTCTTGGGATTTCCTCAAATCGACCCATAATGTCACGGTACCCACCATTTGTGCTGACAGCATATCTGAAAACATATTACATTGTCTCAACATTGAAAGAAGAGAAAGATTACTTACGTTCTTCTCCCCGTGTTCTCAAATTCGCCGAATGCCTTTTTTTAAAAACCTCTTCTCTCCCTTGGTTCATTTGCATGGTATGGGTGCTCAATATTTGACCTTTGAGTTCAGGGAATGGGCGATGTTGTGTAACACTAGGGCTTAGCAACTCCTGGGTCGTTTGAAATTTCTTGGAGAGGTCTCGGTTTCTGTTTGTTTGCTAACGGTTTCTGTCTAACACATTGCCATGTGAAATACACTTTACCATTGTCAGCGACGATTTTTGTATGATGGATAAAGTTTCAGCTGTGGCTTCTGACCTTCAACGAAAGCAAACTGCTGCATCAAAATCAGAGAGTGGGCGACTGCCTATTACGATTGCCATAATTTTGGTATTCTTTATCGTGACTGAAAATTCAAAAATTCTCCTACGCGACATTTAAACTCGAGTTTATGGGTGAGCTACAACGTAGCCATTGGAATTTCCAAACCAATCTTGGACTCAACGGTATTTGAACTTCCTCTGGTGTAATTCACAGGCAGTTCGTAACGGATTCAATTCGCCGAGAGTGCCATAAATTTTGATAACAGGTAGACTGCTACTGGTCTGGTCAACTTTTCTTTTTCCTGTAAGCGTGTCTGTAGCTTGGGTGAATAATTTATAAAATGCTCCCTTGTCGTGACAAAACTCCTGCTCATCATACTTTTCTTACTTGTTGGGGCTTTGAGTTTGATGGTGGCTGGAGGTTTTCCTACCCAATAGAGAAAATGGTTGAGAGGAGTTAGCAGTGGATCTTTGTCTTGGCATTCATAAGCTCGTCTACAACTGCTAAATTCAAAAGACAAAGGATGGTGACGCATTTCCCTCGGTCAATGCTCCTAGTGCAAATATGAGTTTTTTGATACTTTTATTCGAGAGGGATGCGAGCTCCAATATCGATCCTTTTTCTCCCAACTAATCATGGTCCTGTGATGAAGGATTGTTGCTGTTTGGCTTTCAAAGCTAATGGCCTGTCATCCGATATATGATCCTGAATTTCGAACAAACTCTGGATTAAGAATGGCATTCATACCCAGAGGTTAAAGTTCTTTTCTTTAGAGTTATGGTCATATTTCGATTTTTGTTTTAAATTCCCAGTAGAGACATGACCATCCCATCTTCATGCTCAAGAAGATAGAGAATTTTCCTCCTGAAAATTCGATGCCTCGTGGGTAACTGTGGTTTAATGGTGAAAAAGGCCATGCTAGGTTCAATTCCTCACCTTCGAATAAGTTCACAGGATCCAAATCTTTTTTTGTAGGGGGAAGGGGGCTTTGAGAAATCGATATTCAAATTATAGATCTTTTGTCATCTCATCTTTGTAGTGAATTCTGCACCTGTCAGAATGCAAGTTTAGACTCATTTTAACCTATGAGAATTCCTCACCTAGTGAAGGAAGAGATAGAGTTTCCAGATAGCGTATGTAAGACACTAAGAGCTTTTGCACTCCAGGTATTTTACAACTTTTGCCCAGATTTCAGGGCATGGAAGGGAGAATGGACTCTTGAATCCTAGTCTTTGCTTTGAATAGGAGATGATTTATTTTCCCATCGTGAGGAAATCAATGGCCACAGGAGGTTGATACGATTATGCTTCTGAGAGTTTGGGGAACTTCCGCTGTTGGATTCCGAAGATCAGAGAAGGTGAGGGAAAAGCTTTGTCATACTTTGGAGGTGCTCAATAATTTTACATCTATTCGAAAACTGCCAGTCTGTACACGTAGGTTCTGAATGTGACCATCTTGCTAGCCAGAACTGAAAATTAATTGACATACATCAATGGCATTCACAGAAAGTGCACAATTTATGACAAGAAGGTCTTTGCGCATGACCTCAGAGGAAGCGGGGGGGGGAAGAGTTATTGATGACCTCGTGGAATTACCATGTCAAATCGTTACATACAGCATGAAAGAGGGAATGAGTCTCAATGGACTCGCACATCCTGAAAGAAACGAAAACGAGTCCTCTTTTCTGAGTACCTATAACAAAAATCGAACGAGTATCTCATCATTTGAATATGGGGAATCGAACCCCACGCCAATGCAATATGCCCTTGGATGTGACACGTGGTGATGAAAGTGATAGAGTGTTATGCAGCATATCTAATAGCTCGTTCATAGCGCTACCCTTCTCTGGAACTCTCTGTGTTTTGTAATTGCACTGCTCCCTGCTCATCTTCAAGCCTCGACATGTTCCATTTTAGTGTGCGAGCATTCTGGATATCGTGGGGCATCCGCAGACCTCGTTCTAAGAGGCCATCATGTTGTTGAATGACTGGGTTTCTCGTCATCAATCTTATGGCCCCTGGAAGACTATACAGCCAGAGGCAACAGTGCGTGACTCCGAAGGATCGGTTCTTACTAGGGCTCCTTATCACCCGGATACTATGCCCCGACCACGGCTTTCGGAGGAGTCTTCTTATTAGCGCTTTCTACGCCCAGATACTTATGGGAACCGGGTCTGCGATTCATATCCGCATTCACATCCATCCATAGACACGACGTCAATCATGATTTTCTTCTTCGCTCAGGTCCATAGAGATTTCTGATGCTAAGCCGGTCGACGAGTTAAGAACTGGAGACTTCGAAACTTGTGACCTTCGCTCACATGAGCCAATGAACACAATTTGCTAATGCCAGTGAAGCATCTGTTCTGACTCCTTCTCTTTTATGTTTCTTTTCCTAACACTGTGTCGAATCCCAGGAACGTATTACCTGACATAGTCAATAGAACAGGGAAGATCCGGCCAATAGATCGAGGTGTGTTACTAGCAATCGTCGCCGTAGCTGAAATAGCCGTCCAGATTCATAGCCAATATGATGTCATCCAGAACGAAACGTGTACGTGATGGTCTGAGAAATAACGGATACATGGTTTACGATTAGATGCAGGTCAGCCCCTGCAGACTAAGCGCAAGGATCCAGTTTTCCCATTATTAATTGACTTATAATTGGCTTCGACGATGACACTGAAGAAAGCATGCGGCAGCTGGAGCTGTTAGGAGCGTAGACGCGAGGAGACGAATGCACACGCGGGACGGTCACGTGATGATTTGGGCCTGGTTCATGGATGTTTTTCGTTGTAGTAGGTCAGCGAATACCACACAGACCGATTTCTCTCTCAGACACAACGAAGGGCTTCCATTGTATGCAATGTTGCGATTGGGCCTGTGTTCGGCTGCACGAGGAATCCGAGTTGCGTCACTGGACGCGAAACGTTCTACAGTTTGCTCTTTGAGAATACCGCAAGGTCGTTTAGCAGTGTGAAGTGCATACCAACGATTGACATAGTGTAGCGAATGACGGAAGAGAGATTTTCTGTAGGAAGAATGGGATATGCACTCTCATTCGAAGAGAGGGAAGCCGTTACTTCTGATGGCATTTTATATCGATGCTGAGTCACGGGGATATGTTGAAGGTCACCATCAAGGAGAGCTTTATAAAATCTTGCATTCATGTCACCGCTATATCGGCCAACGGTCAGCAACAATAATAAAATCGATAACCAAGACATAAGTGTACAGACTATGCACTTTCTGGTAGTCTCTTTGCGGTACTGGAAGGATAATCCGGAAGGATCAACGCTGCATTATCAAAAAACCGATCGTCACATCACGAAAAAGACACCTATAATGGTTCAGGTTAGTCTTTCCCAATCATTGACCATGAATATTGCACTGTATCTAATTGACTGCTGTATTGTCTTGGAATTTCGCAAGCCAGTTGGATCGCGTGTCGAATTTGGAAGGCTGGCAGCTTTTTTGCTACTACAATGTGATGGACACCACCAAACGATAGAAACTTTGAAAGCCAATGAGGCTAGTAATTCGACTCTGGCTATCCCCGGGCCATCTAGAACACTTCTAAAAATATCTATGTTCGCAACCAAAAGACATCAGGGTAAGATACGTTCCCTAGAAGCTCGGCTAGACCGGAATGTGACAACTCCCAGGATCAACAGGAGCCAACCTGAATAAGGCAAGTTTTAGCGCTTATCAACTATTCTGGGTTCTCTGCGCTTGTCCTGCGGCTTCCGGGAAGAAGAATCAAGATATACACCAGCTCTTCGTATAAAGTGAAAAACGTACTTTCAGGACAAAGAAATCAATGCCGGGATATGTACACGAGCATAAGATCCCGTCCTTGTGATGTCCTAGTTTGCGCCTATATTCTATTACAGCGAGAGCGCAATTAGCCAGGAACCACACCACGACATCTAACAGAATAATTAACCACTAGCCACGAAAATTTGGTGCATTTCATACAATCAGGAAGGAGAGACACGGTCCGGCAGCAATGTGGCGGTGAACAGGTACTTATTTGGCATTGTTCATTTGGGGCCCTCAGCATCTCACAATACTAGGCAATCCCGCACGACGTCTTTCTCTAACATATTTTACAACACTGAATCTCTTGAAATTATTCAACGTGCGCAATGCTCGATTAGGCAACGAGGAGCCCTTGAATCAAGGTTCGTATCCTCAAACTTGTTCTCTTGCTCTGGCTCGACAAGACATGTCTAGCTCTCTGGAAAGCATGGAAGGTCAGCCTTGTTTTTCCCTTGTCGCTTCTGTACCCAGTTCTTCTTCTCCACGTCGTTTAATTACCTATAGTTGCTATTGCCGCTTGTGCTTCCTCTTTCAGCATGCTGAAACACATACCATAGCATGCTTCTTGAAATTTCGCTAGTATATTTATTCTGTATGTCTTGTGCTGGACATACATGAACATTCTGCTATATATGCTTAACTATCTATAGCTTACTGTGCCTCATTTGTCGTTCGCATTAGTAGCGCCGATACTTCGTCGTCTATCGCAGGAATGCCAAGTATGCTGGTGAGACTGCGGTAAATAATCGGCACTGTATACATGTGGAATGATGATGCTGAAGGCAGCCGCCAGTATCTGCATACAGAAATTGATTACATTATATCATGCAGAGAAGGACCATGGCAACGACCCTGAAGATAGATCGTGCTTTGAAGAAAGTAGTAGCGCTACTTGGTACCAAGGTATTTGAGCGAAGGGACCATCTGGTCTGCGAGACAGGGATCAGACCAGCCAAACGAGAAGGGAGTAAATATAATAGCTACATAGGTATCGAGTGCTCACTCAGTGCTTACTTTATCCGAATCGTCTCGTCTATCCATCCTAAATGGACAGGTGAAAAACCGTTCCATCCATTCCAGTACAGCGTTGGGCCAATAACAGAGTGAACATAAATGATGGTCTACCATTTTCGTGCTGGACTGGGAGAGACTGAGGCGGAGGAATACCGTCACGCCTCCTCTCTGAGCTGAGGTACAAATGGATGGTCGACTCCAACAAAACGCCAGCGTGTATGCTGAATTTGAGTAGTGATCACTAGGAATAATCGCCTTGCATTCATTCCTACGATGAATGGACAAAAACCAGTCTCTGACGACAGAAATTAGAGATAATGACGAAACAAGATGAAAAGGGATATACGTCGCCTCTTTTCAATGAGAAGGAATGGATAAAAGTGTTCCATGATAACTTTTCGCTCTTCAATTATATCAGGAGTCGCTTTCCTCCATCTCTCGCTTTTGTCTTTCTTCACCGTGAACTCTAACCATGGACTAACGTAGACGTATGCGCCTCTTAGAAAGATATAGTCATGCACATGCCAACGATGTAGATGAGGATGAAGTTGGATTGTTATGAGCGGCGACCACTGCACATAGTGCCTATCCTTCGCTCCTTTCTGCGCCATTCGCTCAAGATGCCATTAACATAGCCCTGATCGTTGGCCAAAACAACTGCGATATCCAGTCCTTAATGAATCGACTTATCCTGCACTCGAACAGATGGCCCTCCCTGAAGGTTGATTTTCACCGAGTCATTGAGAAAGACCTTCCAGGACTCGATAAACTCGAGTTATAGGTTTCGTCGGAATTATCGTTTCTACATCCACATACCAGGTATTCACAGCTTCATCTTAGGTAAACTTCTCGGTGTCCATTTCATCTCGTTTCCCTCCCTCTTCTGCATTGAATGCGTGATCGCCGAATCCAGAAAACTTGTAACTCTGGTCGACGACTTCGAATCCACCTCACCTCTCTTCAGCTTAATTATATAAACTTTGATCACCGTAAAAAATCTCGCATTCCAAGCATAACAAACAACCTCTTGGAGCTTCATCCCTGTGCCGAAGTCCTAGCCACCCTTACAAAGATAGCCTTCCCCATATTTCACTCCCCAAAGCTATGTCGCAAGTGACATCCAGATCCTAGACCCCATCTACTCCAAGAATCCGGGCACCATCATTTTCAACGACGCCATCAATTTTGTCATTTTCGCCAAACTTCTCTCGAGTCTCATCACTCACTCGGGTATGGTTATCAGAGGAAGGCCGCTGGGATGCTCTCAAATTGCGTTTCCAATCTCATCTAAAGGATTTACACATCCTCGGTCTAATCAGGGATGGAGGAGATGATAAGGATGGTCGAGGAGAGGAATGGCCGCCCACAGAATTAGGAAGTCAGGTTGGACATGTTCGAGTGGATAAGGGCACAGTTTTTGAAGAAGATTTCGAAAGGTTGACGATGACTTTTAAGAACTGGAGACACGAAGACGGATAATCGGTAAGGGAGTGTCCGTCGCTCTTGGAATTGTATTCAAGGGGTTGTCATAGAAGTTTCCTTTCAATGGAGAATGCACGATCAGAGACGACGAATTAATAACACGATATATGGATTTATGCCACATATGAATATCCTTATTGCTCTGCTTGTTACATTGCTATTACGAGGTATACGAAAGCTCGAAAACAAGTCGTCCATCAGCTATGATATTGGCATCTGTGGCACCAGGCCTGGGACAATCGGTTTGATTTGGGCTAGATTCTGCTCTCCCGAGCACTGAAGACGTTTAAGTTATGTAGCTGCGCTTACACAGCGACGTGGATCCTGGGGCATGATGATGTTGGCTGGGATGGATGCTGGTGATGCGCAGCTTGTCGAAGCTGAGAGCTGAACGCGAGCACAGACAGCTAAATATAGACCAAGAAATACGGTAGTCCCTCCAAGAAGGAATGAAGAGATCGCTCATAGATACCACGTTCAACAAGCGGTGCCGTTTTTGTCAACTGCCTCTTCGCCGAATCCCAAGAGGAAGGTCAAAAAGAATGGTGATGTCCTGTTTATGGATATTCATAAAAAGGACTTGACAGGAGAGCTAGATGCAGGCACAAAGTAGACGAACAACTCCCATTGGACCATTAAAAAGCAGTGTTTCACAACACTCGGCGGCTTTGTCCCGGTCCGGCTCAGGGCTTTTTTTTCAACCTGCGTGCTCCGTCATCCCATCCATCGGAGTGAAGGATTTCGAGTATCGTCTTTCATATTCCTCGTTCCCATGATATTTGAAACCATCATCAGATAGATGGAGGCACTGCATCTTCGTCACAGATTCTTGCTGTGCTCCACATAATAATATATAATTACATGGGACCATCGGCAGCAAGAGATGCAACTCTTGCTTTGTTTTTCTGTTATGACTGCTGGAGCATGTCCCATACCACAGCTAATTGATAAATTGCTGGCTCTTGACCAATGGCGAAATACCAAAACGAACAGCGTTCAAGACAAACAGAGGGTCAATATATCGCATACATAAGATTCTTAGCAAGATGGCCATCTACTTGTAAGCGAATAACAAGATAACAACGGACATGATTGCCTACACCGAATTTTACAGGTCAATTGGACGCGTGTGCGGATCATTAATTCGATTCATGGCTATCTGAAGGTAAATCCGGTTCATGGATATATTGGCCGGGACGAATGCTGGTGATGTCGCTGAACGCCAGCACAAAGCATTACATATAGGTCACAAAGAAAGCGGTACATCTCCAAAGACACACGAAGAGATCTCTCATATATAATAGTATGTCCAATGCCTGGGGCCATTTTCTGTCCAGTCTCATTGCCAAGAGGAAAGCCAAAAGAAAAGGAACAGTGATATCCTGTCGACGGATACACGGTCAGCATGAAAGTACTTCGGTGACGCGTCAAAAAAAGGACTGGTAGGAAAACAAGGCCAGACCGACGCACAGCTTTTTATTGTCCGATGGCTGCTGCTGAATTACACCATTCGCGAAGAACAATGACTCCCGTCAGTTGAGCATTTAGGACATAGACTTATAAAAATTGACCAGGAAAATTTCTTTCCCGCATAAATAACCGAAAGCGACGAGAAAACGTCACACATCGCAGCGCGGCCAGCACTCTTAGGGTTAGAGATCCCTTTTCCAAGGCGCGAGTGACCCCTACATCGATGATAAGGACAGGTTCGTCGTCGGCGTGGACAGACACGACGGGAGGGAAAGAGTCAGCTAGGAATGACCGCCGGTCTCCAGCATGCTTCTGTTCGGGGATGCGATTAGAAGGAGTAGCTCGTAGCTTTGGGACGCCATGTTCTGATGATTTATCGTGTCCGTACTTCCTTATGAACAAAAAGGAAAATAGAGCAGAGAGTACCAGTAAAACTATGACATACATCGATGGAACTATTCAAGAAAGACAGAGGATTAGTGATCTATTGTCCTTCCTTGTGTTTTATCGCAATTTTCGACGCTATGTCCATCTTCCCAGCCTCGAATTTCTTGAAAATGGTCTCGGCCATGCCAATGGAAATCTCGGTGGTACCATCAACCAAGTGGGGCATCAGTTGGCCGATGAAATCATCCAGGGGCATCCAAAACTTGGAGAGGTTCTCCGTTGTTCCGTAGGCTGAGAATCGTCAATAATGTGATACCAGGACAACAAATTAAATGCGTACCATCATGCAACTCCGATTCCACCAGCCTGCGGATTTCGACGTCAGCCAGTAAGGTACAGGATTCAGACGTTCTACTCACGCAGGAATGACCTCCACGACGTTGATCTTCGTTCCTTCCAATTGGGCGCGAAGGGACATGCAGAAGCTGTGCAGGGCGGCCTTCGTCGCTGAGTAGTTAGGTATCCATGATGCAGGAACGATACTCAGGCCCGAGGTTACAATTATGATGGAACAGTTTCGGCCTCGTGCCTGCATAGAGGTCATCAGAGCTGCAAATATATACGGCTATAAAGGATATCGAGACTGACGGAGAGTTTTTGGAGATGGGGAAGAAGGTAGATCACCGAAAGAACGACCGATGTGTAGTTGATGTGGATTTCCTGATACAAGTCTGCATATATGCCTCAGGAATAAATGACTGGGACATAACGGTAGCACATACCATCAATATTGATTGATTCGGCATTCATGAAATCGAACTCGTGCTGAATTCCGGCGCACAGAACGATAGTATCCAACTGAAGCTATCTATCAACCGTCGTGACCCCGAAATAGACCGACAGCGCTCACCTCAGGATACTTCTCAACAACACTGTTCAGATCCTTCTTCAGCGCGTCTCTATCCTTACCCAAGTCCAAGTTGACCGGTTCCAGCCCACGCTCCGCAAGTTCGTCCAGTCGACTTTGGCGGCGGCCGACTGCGATGACTTGAGGCTTCGAAGGCAGGTCAGCGATGGAGAAGGCAAGCGCACGGCCTATGCCGGACGTCGCGCCTGTGATGAGAACGGATTTGCAAAGGGAAATACCAGCCGGTAACATGGTGGTTCGAGTGAGAGATGTGAGGGTGCCTTATATTATCTCATGTAATCCGGCCGATGACGACTACACCCGGAGGGCTATACCGAATCCCGATATATCTGGATTCGAGGATAATGTCGGGTCATGGTATAAATCTGGAGACTGGACCATAGGTTACCCTGGTCCTTGATTTATTTCAAGGGCGCATCACTTTCTTTGGTGACTGACACAGAGTTAGCTGAGGCCACAGCGCAATAACCGAGTCCGTCACACATACTATTTCTATGTAGCACGGCCGACCAGGCAGGTCCTATGACAGGGGAAATATAAAGTTGCACGTCAGATGATGGTGATTTCCTCGCAGGCTTTGAGGGAATACTTTTTATATCCGGATTTGTGACGCAAGTAATGATAATGGGGAACGACAAGGAAAGCGTACGTGATAGATTCAATCCGAGGCAGGTGGTGGTACCAGCACAAGGTCCCTATTTGAATCAGGGTTGAAGAAATTAGTTGACAAGTCACGTGCGCGATCCCAAGTTCAATTCCTCCCACATGCAGATTTCCCACAACCTGAGTACCTCCTCCATGACACCATACTGAACCACAGACGTGATCATTACCTATCATTATGATGCGCCCACCGACTGCAATAACCACCACCTTTAGAATAGCTTGAACCTTTTCACAAGGATGGTATGTATTTTGCAATAGTAAATACATTATTAGAACTACCTGATGAGATCTCCTCGAGGACTAGAATAAATTCGGAGAGATGGCAGATAGCATGGAGCTACACAAGCTCCCAGACACGTCAAAGTCTTTAACAACCAGATTAATGCTCCTGCTATCCACTTTTTCCAACGACATCGCCCACCATTGTGCAAGAGAACGTGATGGCGGCTCAATCGAAAGTGATTTACGGCTGCTCACATCGAGCGGAGGGCATCTTTTCACTTCAGAGATCATCAACCTACCCATCCCGCTATCATTATAAAAAAGAAATGCAACGCACTCCAGTCGACCGGTAAGATACACACTCCCATCTCCAAATCCTCCAACGAACCCTTCGTCATCTCCATCAATCCCCGAACAAGCTCCATCTGCACACTAAAACACCTGGTAATTCTCAACCTACGCAGTTTGCCCAGCTTCGCTCGCAGCAAGAACATCTCTATCGCGCGCGAGCTCCTTCCACGTCTACCTCGAGCTCCTCGACCCCCAACGAGACGTGCTCCGCATCCGCCGCGCAGAACGGTGCTGCGATTATGGAACCCAGGAAAAGGGACTTGAGGTTCGCGAACAGACTGAGCATGTCGAGGAGGTCCGTCTGGCAGCTAAAGTGCGCATATTCGAGCTTGAGGGTGGTTATGCTGCCGGTTTTTGAAAGTAGGGCGTGCTCAAAGGACGGAGCGGTAGGTACGCGGGAGACATTCCGCCAGCGCATTGCACCGGCTGTGAAAGAGGCGACGTTTGGAAGGAGGGAAAGGATATGCTGGAGGAAGGGGTCTCTGCAGATCCATTGGCGATCTGAAATGCTTTGTCTGAGTACCCTGTCGATGAGTTCGTGGAGGTGTACGGCTTCATTGGTCTTATACCGAGGATCGGTGTCAATCTCCAGCGATCGTACAAAGGAGGGAATAGACGTGTTGCCTGAAATGAGGTGATAGAATCGTTTGCATCATTGAGGAGTAGAGAGCGTGACGTGGCGGAAGAAATGGAGTCGAGATCGAAGGAGGAAGTTTCTGGAGACGAGGGAACATGATAGGAGGGCATGATGTTCATAACGGATTTCGTCGATGACTCTGTCAGTTATCTCTGGTGGGAGGCGCATTGCTGGTTAAGAAACAGGCCGTTCTGGCTAACAAATTAGCAATAGCGACCGCATCATATGAAAACTGACTCACTGTTGTGCAGCGGTGGCTAACTACAGCATTACCCTGGTATACATGCTAATCGGACCGTTGTTCACAAGAGTTATTAACCGACAGAGCGCGTCTGCATTTTACCGAGCGCTGGCAGAACTGTGTTTCAATTCAGTGCAGAAGCACTATGTGCTTTAAAGTGTTCCTGCTTGTTTGTGTCAGCGATTGTAAACGAATATGAAATGTTACCTCTCCTCTATATGTGAGATCGTTCCAAGTGGGCTTCACGTCGCACATGCAACCTCGGGCAGCTATACTTTGACATTGGAAACTGCGAAGAGAAATGCTTTTATTCGTGTTTGACGGTGGCAGATAATGGTATGACTGTAACCGCAGATCAGTGACTGCGGGACTTTGTCGACATTGTGTATATTCTCCACGGAAACAACAAATGCAAGCCGTTGGAGAGAGGTGTGGGATATATGAGGATACGCGATTGGTGCAGAAAAATCACGGAGAGGTCGAGCTGGTGATATGGCGAATTCAGTTAGACATTGTGCATGTTGTCGCATGTCATGGAGTGAAGTGGGATCATATGGATATACATGGAACTTGCATAGCTTGGTCAAGTTTATTGGCATACACCGATATAAAATATGTGAAAAATCGGCATTTTGGATAGGTGATGAAGAGAAGAGGTTGTGCGACACTGCGGCATCGATCCACGGTTCAATGTCACCTAAGAGTCTGATATGAAGGTTCATCAATTGAATGGCTGGAGATGACTTGGATGCTAGGCATAGCAGCTTAACCAACTCTTGTGGAGCTGTGTTCAGCTCCAAAGTTGACCAACATTCTGAGTGGAGGAATAAGCCACTGAGAGAATTGACTGTTTCAAAGTCAGGGTATTCTATGGCGACATGGATGGGTAGGTCTCCAGAGTCAATAAGTACCAGCTTCGCAACTGGTCCCTTTCCTGATCAAATTCTGGATCTTCCAATCAGCTGTTCCACAACGTTGGATATCCTTGATGCTCGAGGAAGGCATAAACCAATTTCTATCCAATAAATACTAAAGATATAATCTGTGCATATCCAGTTTTAAAACTTTACGACCGCACCATCATTGAAAGACATGCAGTTTGATTTGTATATATCTCCGCTGGAAGAGTAAATCAGACTCACGAAGAATAATTATAGGAGACGCTGAACCTCGCTGAGATGAAGCAATGTTAATGCTCATATCTCCATCTCAATAACTCAAAGGCTACACTTCACAAGGAGAACGAGACAATTTTCACACTCATCCATGGCAGATGCTCAGCTGCAGACCTTGATTTATTCGTTCATGATACAATCCCTATATTCGAGAGCGAAGTCCGAAGTCCGATGTGGAGACCAAGAAGTCAGACTGAAATATCCCCTGTCATCTGACCCACAACGTGAGCTACAGAACGATCAATGCGATCTCAGATAACAACCACCCCAGACGATACCTAATCAGTGCCCTATCAAACGTCACACACCTTCAACCAAGTTGGGAGAGAGCAATAAGTAACAAAACGGCCATCTGAAGGAAGGGCAGATGGTCCAGGTGCTACAGGCGTATGTCCTTTTTTCTGCGTCTGTTATCCTCATCAATATCGTCTGCAGCTCTTCCTACTCGTCTCCTGGATCACTGTCCTCATCAACGATCCTACAAAGGTCCCTTGGTTCTCTTTACACCCGACGCTTCAGTCCCTGGCTCTGAGTTTCATCGTCTACGGTTCGCCAATCTCTAATAGAGAATCTTTGGCTGGGACTCGAACCTTGGTACTCAACGATAAACCAATGGTGTTATCATGCTCTTTTAGGAACCCGCATAGCAACAAGCCGCTGTGGTGGCAGAAAAAACAGTATCAAAAAGCTGGGAGATTTTTTGATCAGGACTCAAACCAGGTAGTCGTCAAGTCGTGCATATACCACCAGTCCATGCTTTCAT